CTGTTCTGAATCTCTCTCTCTGAATATTCCCCATACTGTTCTGAATCTCTCTCTCTGAGTATTCCCCATACTGTTCTGAATCTCTCTCTCTGAATATTCCCCATACTGTTCTGAATCTCTCTCTCTGAGTATTCCCCATACTGTACTCAATCTGTCTCTCTCTGAATATTCCCCATACTGTTCTGAATCTGTCTCTCTCTGAATATTCCCCTTACTGTTCTGAATCTCTCTCTCTCTCTGAATATTCCCCATACTGTTCTGAATCTCTCTCTCTCTGAGTATTCCCCATACTGTTCTCAAGCTGTCTCTCTCTAAATATTCCCCATACTGTTTTCAATCTGTCCCTCTCTGAATATTCCCAATAGTGTTCCAAATCGGTCTCTCTCTGAATATTCCCCTTACTGTTCTCAATCTGTCTCTCTTTCTGAATACCCTATAATCCCTTTTAACCGCCCCTGACCCTATAAGCGCCCCCTTGGTCTTTTTCAATGGTCAGGAAATACTTACCTAAATCTTTCTATCTCTCCTTCTAAATATTCCCCATACTGTTCCCAATCTCTCTCTCTTTCTGAATAAAATCATTTTTTTTTAATTTTCTGGGGTCAACAACTTTGATATACTAATAAAAAAATTACAAGATAACAATGATGGATCCGGTTTATGTTCAATATTTTAAAGCTCTATATTCAACATTTTACCGTTATAAGCATGACAATTTGTATTTTCTAAGCAATAAAATGCAACATTAAATGTTATTTATTTTAAAACATATGCTTGGAAAAATAAAATAATATACTGCTAGTTTTCGCTACTGGGAAATCGGAATTAAAAATGTTAGACCGCATTGGGTTTTAAATAGTTTTGTGAAATATTGTTTCCGGTATCGATTAAAACAGAAAACAATTGTTCGTAAGTAAATTTGTAACAGACAGACTGTGTTTTCTTTGGTAAATAAAATAAAACAACTTGTTTGTATCAAATTTTATTTCTGGTAGACATTGATTATGACCTTCGTGTAAACGTTTACTCAATTCGTAAACGTTTAGAGCATTTAATCGAAACGTCGCCGTTTACACGTGTAATCGTTTCGCCCTTAGTATCTTTAGACATCACGGACATGCCATATGTTTACCGATAAATATCAAATAGAAGCTTGAATAATATATTCTTTGCGTTTGAATGACTAGGATGGTAAATTAGTGCTGTTAAACTTCAATCAGACAAAAACAGAAAATTTCAGAACAAGGTTTTAAATATTCTCCATTTATTCGTGGAATTTTCTATCTGAATAAGGGAACTTTTGCACCTTTTTAAAGAGGGAATAAATCCCTGCACATATTGATCTCAGTCTATCTCTCTTTCTGAAATTTTCCCATACTGATCTCAATCTCTCCTCCAAAATATTCGACATGCTGATATCAATGCCTCTCTCTCTCTCTTTTTCTTAATATTCCCCATACTGATTCCAGCCATTTTCTCTCTTGATATTCCCCATACTGATTCCAGCCATTCTCTCTCTCTTAATTTTCCCCATACTGATTCCAGCCATTTTCTCTCTTGATATTCCCCATACTGATTCCAGCCAATCTCTCTCTTGATATTCCCCATACTGATTCCAGCCATTCTCTCTTAATTTTCACCATACTGATTCCAGCCATTTTCTCTCTTGATATTCCCAAAACTGGTTCCAGCCATTTTCTCTCTTAATATTCCCATACTGATTCCAGCCATTCTCTCTCTTAATATTCCCCATACTGATTCCAGCCATTCTCTATTATAATATTCCCCATACTGATTCCAGCCATTTTCTCTCTTAATATTCCCATACAGATTCCAGCCATTCTCTCTCTTAATATTCCCCATACTGATTCCAGCCATTCTCTATTATAATATTCCCCATACTGATTCCAGCCATTCTTTCTCTTCATATTCCCCATACTGATTCCAGCCATTCTCTCTGTTAATATTCCCCATACTGATTCCAGCCATTTTCTCTCTTAATATTCCCATACAGATTCCAGCCATTCTCTCTCTCAATATTCCCCATACTGACTCCAGCCATTTTCTATTATAATATTCCCCATACTGATTCCAGCCATTCTTTCTCTTAATATTTCCCATACTGATTCCAGCCATTCTTTCTCTTAATATTCCCCATACTGATTCCAGCCATTCTCTCTCTTAATATTCCCCATACTGATCATATGCTGATTCCAGCCATTCTCTATTATAATATTCCCCATACTGATTCCAGCCATTCTTTCTCTTAATATTCCCCATACTGATTCCAGCCATTTTCTCTCTTAATATTCCCCATACAGATTTCAGCCATTCTATCTCTTAATATTTCCCATACTGATTCCAGCCATTTTCTCTCTTAATATTCCCCATACTGATTCCAGCCATTTTCTCTCTTAATATTCCCCATACTGATTCCAGCCATTTTCTCTCTTAATATCCCCATACAGATTCCAGCCATTCTCTCTCTTAATATTCCCCATACTGATTCCAGCCATTTTCTCTCTTAATATCCCCATACAGATTCCAGCCATTCTATCTCGTAGTATTTCCCATACTGATTCCAGCCAATCCCTCTTAATATTCCCCATACTAATTCCAGCCATTCTATCTCTTAATATTCCCCATACTGATTCCATCCATTTTCTCTCTTGATATTCCCCATACTGATTCCAGCTATTTTCTCTCATAATTTTCCCCATACTAATTCCAGCCATTCTATCTCTTAATATTCCCCATACTGATTCCAGCCATTTTCTCTAATAATATTCCCCATACTAATTCCAGCCATTTTCTCTCATAATATTCCCCATACTGATTCCAGCCATTTTTTTTCCATAATATTCCCCATACTGCTCAGTGATCTCAATCTCCCTCTCCCTCCATCTGAATATTCCTCACACTGATCTGAATATTTATTTCTCAATGAATATTTCACGCATGATCTTACTCTTTCACTGAATATCCTTGTACACTAACAGTTCCCAATTTCCAAATTTTTATGAACTCTCACTGAATATTCCCCATACTGTTGATATATTCTCTCACTGACTATTCCCAATACTGATCCCATTCTCACTGTATTTTCCCCATTCTGATTTCTCTCTATTTCCCCATATTGTATTAAACTTTCTCTTTAAATATTACATTTAATATAACTGGTACAAAAACTTTCTCAAAAAAGAACCACAATAATTTTTCAATATAAAATGGCAATTAATTTTCCCCATATCAAAACATATTTTTCCAATTATACTTTTTAATAGCGAGCACAGCGAGCGTCACGAAGCAAGCTCAATAGACTAACGTGTAAGAACAGAGGAAATACGGATCTGTACATAAGAAACAAAAAATAACTGCAATTTTTTTTTCGACCAAAATTGCACTAACGTTAGGCCTCCAGTTTCAACTAGGCATACGACTGTCTTTGTAAGCTCCGTGACATCACAGATAGTCCAGATATCTCATGCGGCTTGATGTTTGAAGTGGCTGATCAATTTTTTTAACCTTCTGATGGTATAACTGCGCTTGCCCTAATGGTCACACCGTAAAACATATTAGTGTTTTTACAGTATATTGTAGACAATAATTTTTCTTGTTTTCATAGAATCTCTACCTGAACTATCCAGGGACCCCATATTTATTGATTTTTACATCTGTTGTGTTTTTTACTATTATAAAGCTAACTGTGAAATGAATTTGAATACCATTACTATTTCAGTGCATTCTGCCCCCCCCCCCTTCCCACTTTCTTTTCCCAAAAATTACTTTTACTTTTGGAAATGTTCATCGAAATGCTGGTTCCCCCTAACTATATGCTTAACACGAAATAGGATTTTCAAGTTTTTTTGCTTTTTTTTTTTTTACATTTCAACTTTTTCAGGTAAGTCAAAATGAATTTTCACTGGCTTACTTCCTACTTTCAAATAGGCCTAAAATGCAACATGTACGTAGCTATAATAAGCGTAAAACACAACTGTTGAACTGCACGTGCAAGTCCCTATTGTCGTAGATACTACCTTCAAGATCCAACCCATCTGAATCTAAGAAACATGTTTCAAAAATCTGAGGGAAATAAACGAAACAAACAACCACTCTTAAAATAACTGCAAGTTATTCCCTGTCTGTCACTGACACTCACTGTTCTGCCTCCTGGCCGACCTTTGTATCGAAGTTCGAATAAGTACGCGTTTACCTAGGTCTATATATAGTAAACAGGGTCTGAAAATGTTTATGTCCTATATCTTGTTCTTAATTAAGTAAATGTAATCAGAAAACATACATTAGATCTAACTACTTACCCCTGCTCAGCAACAGCATCCCTGGAGTTTCGATTCCAACATGGAGTCTGTCTGTTTCCCGCGAAATGGTAAATTTTAAGATGTGTTCCGAAAGGCGTCGTTTTACGGTAGTGTGAGTCGTTATAAAATTTTTGTGGGGAAATTTGATTGACTAAGGCTATACGTTAAACAAGTAAAGTATGCAAATCAATGAAGATGAGAAGTTGTTTCAGATTGATAAGACATTATAAATATAATGTTAAACTTTGGTTATGTCGTAAAATGACAGAGAAAAGGGCACATGTAACTGTGGGGAATTAACATTTTCCCCACTATGTCCAACTTTCCCCACAGTGTTGGTCTTATGACCAGTCCATTTCCTCGTAATGTAGGGATCTCGGGTACTCTCTCTCTCTCTCTCTCTCTCTCTCTCTCTCTCTCTCTCTCTCTCTCTCTCTGTGTGTGTGTGTGTGTGTGTGTGTGTGTGTGTGTGTGTGTGAGTGTGTCAGGGTGTGTGTGGAGTGAAGGAGAGAGAGAGAGAGAGAGAGAGAGGGTTTGTGAGGGTGTCTGTGGAAAGAGTGTATATCAGTGTGTGTATGTGGACGAGTAAGTGTGTATTAAAGCAAAAAGCAGTCTAATTAGCTGAGTAAAAAATCAAACCTGCTTTCTGGCAGAAATGCAATTCATTTCCTGTCTTTCTAGGCACCTGGCTTACAACAAATGTACAACATTCCATACTTTTTGACAATGAGTAACAGAATGTCATCGGTTATAAAAACTGTTAGAATAACACTTCCACACCATGCAATACAAGGAACTCAATCCGTATATTTGACAGTCACAGGTAATATTATCACAACATAGTCATTATTATAATATAATCATCACTAATGGAATTTAAAAAAAATCATACTTTTGAAAAAAGTGTTGAACTGATACATTTTTTTCTCTTAAATATAAATTATTGTTTGATCCACGTACGCATGTATAATAAAGTCTCGAAAAAAAAACTTTTTGCTTGGGCGAATATGACAATTTGAAATCACAAGATTTTACCAAAATCAACAACTTAAAAACTTTCGATTATTTTAATCACAAATCATTAAAGTTAAGTCCAGGCTTTTTATATCATTGACAGCTGCTTTTTTCAATGAAAATTAAACTCGTAAATTTACTTAGCTGGTCATTGGTCATTTCAACTCATTTGCAAACTCATTCTCTTAAATCACATTCTAATTGCTCACAAACATACTCTGAAGCTGACATAAAAAGATGCTTGAGTTTCTGATTGACAATATCCGTGTGGTTTTTGGAGACAAGGTCTTCTAACAATCTATTGGGATCCCTATGGGTTCCAATTGCGCTCCGTTATTAGCAGACCTATTTTTGTATTCATATAAAGCAGAATTTGTGCAAGATTTTATGCATGGAAAGAAGAAAACAGTTTTTTTATGTCGATACGATATATCCTGGTGAGCTTGAAATAAAAAACCCACAAAGTCTGACACATGTCTTTCATACTTGGATACTTTACTAGAAATAGACAGTAACGGTAATCTAACAACCAGGCTCTCTCATAAACGTGATTACTTTAACTTTTCTATTGTCAAATTCCCTTATTCATGCAGCAATATACCTTCATCACCTGTATACAGAGTTTATATATCTCAATTGATCGATAAACAAAAGCATGCTCTATGTACGAACAATTTCTACTAAAACGAGTAAAATTATTGACATAGAAGTTGATACAATAAGAACACAAGTCTCGTTTAAAGCCATCATTTCGTCATTTCTATTGTCGATACAATGATCTTGCCAGCAAATACAATTTATCATTTTATACTATTTTGTCCATTATTTAAACATTGAATTGACGACGGATTTTCCGTTATTTCCCGATCATATGAAAGAGCACACGGCGGGGGTGACCGTTTGACAGGGGATGCTCACTCCTCCATGGCACCTGATCCCACCTCTGATGTTTTGGAGGTCCATGTTTGCTTTTTTCCTGTTTAGTATTGTTTTATGATACTTTTGGACTTGAATACTATTCGCTATCTCCATGTTTTTACAAATTATAAATTTAATCGAACAAATGAAATATTCCTTCAATCAAATGAAAAAATCATCAAATTGACAAACAAATATTAGGCATTTTCTTAATAAATCCAAACAGTTTTTTTTTCTTTTTCATCTTATCTAGCTGATAGTTTATCTTTCAATTATCTAACAGTTCTCTAATTAATCCGAGCGAATTTTTGCTTATTCTTTTCTTCCAAATGAATATCTGGCCCATAAGAGAATTCGTAACTTTAAACTCTTTTAGGAGACATAATGGCGCCAACTATAGGTGGACTTGGCCATTTAATCCGCACTCCCTGTGGATGTGGAGAACAGACTATGATGTATCTTGCACCAAATGTTTACGTGATCCATTACCTTAAGTCTTCAAATCAATTGTCAGCGGATGTTAGAACCAAAATAGTCACAAACATCAACAGAGGTATTTTTCTATTTTCATATGGGACGTTTAACAACATACAATCAATCAATTAAAATCAATCTATTTTTATATTTTTGTTGTTGGTATTAGTTGTTGTTTTCGTTTTATAATCATGTTACAATTTTATACTTCTTATGGAATAAAGGCCTTGAAAACATATTTTCAAACAAAGCATTAAGGATATCCGATCCTCAGCCAGGAAGGATAACTCTAAAAATCAATATTTAATTCAAAAAGCATCAATATGCAGCTAAAAATGATATTTTTTCTTCAAACAATTTTTATTTTATTCATCTTCATATGATTCAAGGTGTTTGGAGTATTAGAAAAGGTCTTTTGAAAGTTGACATTTGCACCCTATAAAAGGAAAAAAATAAATACAGTTTTAGAGAAAGAAGATTTTATTGAATGTGCAGCCTAAGATACCAATGCTTATTAGCATGATATGAAATCAGAAGTGATTTGTTGTGTCTTGCAATGATAGCAAAAGCCTTTTACACTATGTATTATTAAATACACGAAAGAAATAGAAGACATAGAATTTTCATGGTTTTTGTGGTGTGAAGAGACCCACGAATTCATGTCCACCACGAAATGTGAAATGTGACATACATTACTACTGAACAATTCTACATCCACGAAATCAAATCCCCACGAGCCAAGAGTTTTTCCTCAAAACACGAAAATTTGACATGACGAATATATGTGATTTTACAGTAAGTATAAAATCATGACAATTTCTCTGAATGTCTGGATACCTTTAGTTTTTTAACCTAAAATATATTTGTTGATCAATTTGCAATTTGACAATGCATTGCTGATATTCTTATTCGCTTTTTCTGCAAAATTATAGGAGATTTGACAGTTGTCCCTATATAGTATGATTAACTTTAATCTTAAACTTCAAGGAAAAACAATGGATAAATTTACATTACTTTGCAAACTCACAGATATTTTCATGAGTATTTTTTATTACTTAACTGCTAATTTTAAAAACCTGAGGATCGGACTACCCTAAATTGCACACAACTTTCAATAAACCCCTAGTCAGGGAGTATATATATATATAGACATGATGTAAATTTAAAAAAAATCCTGTGTAATGAAAATGTATTTGAAAATGAAAATGAAAAAAAAATAATTGTTTACTATGACTTTATTAATTAAATGTTTGTTGATTTTTTTCACAAGGTATAGACAATGAATTGAGATGGCAAAAGTCTGATGGATCATTCAGTGTATGGGGAAATAGAGACCCACATGGAAGCACTTGGTATACCCTTTACGTATCAATAAAGATACAGTATAAGTATTCAATTAGCGAGCAGATTTTTAATGATTTTTATGAATACGAAATACATATGGAGATAACGAACATTATGCAACCTCAAAAGCTCATTAAACACTACAAATTAAAAGAAAAGCAAACGCAGATCTCTTAAACATCATAGGTGGGATAATGTGCCATGGAGGAGTGACCATCCGCCGTGTACTACCTGTCATGACCAAAAAATCATATTGAAAAAAACGATATCCTTCGACAATTCAGGGTGTAAATAATGGTCTAATAATTAGTATTTAAAAACGTCAGTTTGAATTATAATATTGTATGTAAAACGTCACGCGGTTTTTTTTTCTTTCTCAGTATTAAGTGAAATACAAATATTGTTTCAAAATTAACATTCTTTAAAGGTTATTACCGGTGATTGTTTGTCCTTTGGTTTAAAATTACATTGTCTGAATTAGGTGCGGCGAATTATACCAAAGTGTTACATTATAATTTTTTGTGAGCATGAAAAATACATGACACTTTGCATTTATAAAGGTTGGCGGACGGACGATGTACAAACTTCTTTCAGATTCCTTTGGAACAGGTGATAGAGAAAACAAAAATCACTTCAACCAGCTAAAATTAAATCATAAGGATTGGGCTAAAATTCTTATTGGTTAAATTTTTCTTACGTGCATATATATTGAATTAAGCAAATACACTAATTAAGTCTTGTGTACCATAGAAAGTTATAATACCACATCCAAAATTTTGTAGAACTGAAATGTCTTATCTGTTTAAACTGCATCAACAATATCATTGACGAATATTTGAAGCTAAATTGTTGTCAATTTCTTCTTCGTATCTCTATTTACCGTATAAGCTCTTATATTCTACTTACAGGTTGACTTCCTTTGTGCTTTTGTGCTTTCACCAGGCGGATTCTTTTGTACCCGTTGATAGAGATATATTCACACGTGGCCTTAACTGGCTATTGAAAAAACAAAATGTTGATGGTTCTTTCCAAGAAGATGGCTACGTTATTCACTATCAAATGCAGGTAAATAAAATATAATTATTTTTAGGTTTGTTGAACTTTTAGAAAGAAAAATAACTCTCGTTTGGATCAATCTTGTACCATTTAGTAATAAAATTGTCAAGAAGAGTCCAGTTTTGTCAAGCTTCAATTTTCTTGCAAGATGTTTTGCCTGATTTTAATGTGAATTGTCAGATGGACGTTTTACTTTATTTTTTTCAATCTTTAGTGTGTTTATGAATTAATACTTACAGTTTTAATTTACTTATTTTTACAGGGAGGTGTTGTTGCAAGTCGTGCTACTATCACAGCATATGTCTTACTGACTCTATTAGAAAATAAAGATATAAGAGAATATAAGGTAATATCAAAATATTCTTGATCAAGTAATAATTGGGATTTAAACATTTACATTTTTTTTAAATTTTCATTTCATTTTTTAATTTTCATTTGTTTTTTTTTAATAATCAACATTTTATTTATTTACGCTAATTTCTAAATACGTTCACTTTTTTTCCTTTCCGAGCAGCTAGTAGTTTTGATTAGTAAGGACAGGGGCGTTGGTAAAGTTATACTTGGAGCTGCCATATTTCTTTGTTTGTAAAGATTTTTCTGGCAATTTATTTATTAAATGCAGACAAAAATGGCGATTGCAAAGAAAAAGGCAGTGCAATACTTAACCAGATCCAGTGTTATTCGAGATTTACGGAACACTAACCACGGAATGGCTTTTACGAGCTATGTTCTACAAAAAGCCGGATCCCAGGGAAAAGCAAGACAGCTGTACGCTACTTTAAAGGCAATGTCAAAGAAATCAGGTATAGATCATTGTTATATTATGCATCTAAAATTCTTATACTTGTTTTCTAATTAAAATACATGACATAAATTTAATTTAATGTGTTATACAATAAAAAAAAAGTTTTGATTTCTTTTGAAGATAACAAAATGAGCACATCAGGTATCTATTTTTAGGCGACTATATGTTTTGGCAAGACAGTGGAAGCAAAGTGTATAAACAAAAGCTTAGGTGGCAAGCCCCAAACCCTAGAGCAAGACCGATTGACATCGAAACGTCCGCTTATGCACTTTTGTATCTTTCTGAGAGAAGGGACATTACGGAGGGAATGAAAATAATGAAGTGGCTGGTTTCCCAACGAAATCCCCAAGGAGGGTTTACGTCTACACAGGTAATTCGTTTGTTTCGCACATATGTCATAATAATGATAACCTAAAACCATTGTCTTTGATATTTAAGAAAACATAAATACTTGGATTTGGATACTTAATAACTCCAAGGAATCTATAAAAAAAAATATACCACTACAATTCAGCAAAATCAATAAAATCAAAAATACATTTAGGCAACAATTTCTAAAGTTCTAAAAATACAAAGTTTTTGACTTCAAAGATAGCTACTATCTTTGGTTATAATGGATTTTGTAGATTTACATAGCTATTCATTGATTATTTGCAAAATCACTAGTAAAAGAAAAAAGATGATATAAAGAAAAATATGGATTCCTGGATTGTTATGTCATCTGCATGGGTCAATGGTTAGAAGTAAGAAGTTGATCCTTTCATCACGGGTTCAAATCACAGGTGTCGCATAATATTTGGTCCGCCTCGTTTAAAGGTCCGGCCGGACCAAATACGATAACATATCAGGTCCGCCTTTTATAAGAAAAGGTCCGGCCCGTATAAGAAAAGGTCCCCCTACGTTTTAAGGTCCGGGTGGTGCAAAATGTTTAATCTTGACTTTAACATATGATATTAAAGAGAATCAGTTTATACTGTATGATCAGAAGGATTTACCCTATTGTGTTTTATTTTTTGTACAACATACACGTATCTCTAGACAAGAATCTACTCGTTTAGTGTGCTTTGAGCATTGCAGTTTAGGACCATAATTTCTTTAAAAATAATGCCACAATTATTGTGCAAGTGTTTGTTTTCCCTTAGAATTTACTTTGTGTAAATTAGTACGATTCAAAGTGTGAAATCTGTCGGTGTGTATAGCTAATAAAACAATGGGGTGTGACGTATTTGTTTACCTGACAGGTACCCACAGGTAGAGCCCGCGGCAGATGGCGCTGTCACTGAATGGTCGGTGAACCTAATGGCCATGTGTTAGCTTTATATATCAATAGATTTGGGGCTGGCTGGTCATCTGACTGGTCAAGAGGGGCTGGCTGGTCATCTGACTGGTCAAGAGGGGCTGGCTGGTCATCTGACTGGTCAAGAGGGGCTGGCTGGTTATCTGACTGGTCAAGAGGGGCTGGCTGGTCATCTGTGTTTTTTCTTAGTTCAAGGGCCATCAATCTGTCCCAAATTGTTTGATCATATCAAAAACAGTAGTTGATCTAGATATTCATCTGATAAATCTGTATACCAAAAAATTCATTTAAATATGTGCAACCTTTGCAAAGAAAATAAATTTAAAAAACTGCAAAATTGTCAAAGGATTTTTTTAGTCCAAGGGGTATACAAGTACCTCTGTCGAAAATGGTTCGATCGTACTCAAAACAGAACTTAGACATTCATTTGATAAATCTGTATTTGAAATTTTATTCAGTATATGCAACATCTGCAAAGAAAATGAACGGAAACTGCAAATGATAAATCTATTTACTAAATTTTAATTCAGTAAGAAAATGTACATGTATTATGTCAGTTAAGAAAATGAACTGAAAACTAAGTGGACAGACAGCAGCAAAGCAATATGCCCTCCATTTTTCAAAGGAGGGCATAAAAATGTTTCACAGGATGTACCCCAAAAAGGAATATTGACATTCCGTTTATTTTCAGTTAGTTTTGTAAGCTTGAATTTATTAAACTTAATATTTATTGAATGCATCATCGTATTCTCAGTACAAACATGATCTTTTACGTGTTTGTTGATTTATTTTGAACTTTTTAGGACACGGTCGTATCACTTCATGCACTATCAAGATTCTCCAGTATGTTACGGCAATCCAATTTAAATGCACAAGTGAAGGTGAAAAGTGGCTCGACAGAAAAAACATTTTATATTACGCAGAAAAACAAACAGCTCATCCAGAGAATGGAGGTAACGTAGAATTTAATCTGTCCATTTGATTGTTTTGTTTGAATATTCCACACGCATTGCGATATCAATCTTTTTTTATAACAAATTTGATAACTCCATTTTGCAATCAGACATTTTCTTTACAATAGGTTTATACTTTTATTATAAAGCGAATTGTCGTTCTCATGATAAGATGAAAGAAATATAATTATCTTAGATCGATAGTATTCTTTAAGTTTAATATTGTGAAGTTTATCAAAATAATATCTCCGTGGCAGTCCAATTCTCTAATAGGATAAAAACAACACACAATCAAGCAATACAAAACTACCTAATTCAAATTCAATTATTAAAGAATCATATTTGTAGTTTATTTTCTCTCTTTTTTTTTCCTTTAGAGTAATATTTTGTAGTAAGTTAAGCTCCATGTACCAAGAGAACCTTATATCTTAAATCTCCCTTATCAATTTTTTAATAATACAAATGTACATAATTATACTTTTCCAGCTTGGTAACAGTACAAGCAATGTGGAAATAAAGACCTCAGGGAAAGGACTGGTTTTGATTGATGTATGTACATAGGTGTCATAAAAGATTATTTTATTTTAATGAATAAATAAGGAACAGAAATCATATATTATGGGTTATTTTCAGACTGTGGTAAAATATAATGTGATGAAAAGCGAGGACGCTGCATTCGAAATTACAACAAGTATCAGTTCTTCAAAGCAAACTTTCGACAAGATTACCGTAAATGTTTGTATAAGGTAACATCATATTGTAAGCCTTTAATTTACTGGCTTGAAGCAAATGAACATTAACAACATTAATATATAATCTGATGTTTTGCATTAATGTCCATCAAGTAAGTTCACAATTTAAAAAAAAAATAAAAATAAAGGGTCTATAATATAACATTTTTTCTGATTAAATATTTTCTTTGAAAATTATATTTTGATTGTAATTCTAGTTTGTTTGTTTGTTTGTTTGTTGTTTTTTTTTTTTTTGTTACTTTTTGTTATATTTTGTTGTTTTTTTACCTTATGTATATGTAAATGATTTTAAAAAAAAGATAAAGCATTTATTTATTTTTTCTTTCTTTTCTTAAAACAAAATTCAGGAGGAAGGACAATAAGGATTATGGCATGGTGGTTGCAGAAATTGGAGTCCCGTGTGGTTTTGTGGGAGACCTCACAAAAACCAGGGCCCGGGGTCTCGAACACAAAGAGACAAGTTCTGATGCTGTGGTGCTGTACTTCAAAAATGTAATCCATTTTTATTATTCTTTTAACAATATAAGGTATATAAGGAATTTTGGGTGAAATTCACGTATGCATACATTTTTTTAAAAGCTTCGCGGAAGCAAAGTGTGTTTTGACGTAACAGCTAACAGAGTGGACAAAGTTACAGAGTCACAGGCGATTCCTATTACAGTTTATGATTATTATGAACCAGGTAGGAAGGATTTTTATTTAGATTTAAGAATTATTTAAACCAGAAGATAAAGGCAAATAAAATTTGGACATATCCAATGCAAAGTGATTACCTAGTGGACCTTTAAGAACATCACTGATTTTTACTGGTAGAGTTATCTGCCCTTAGAAAAAAAGATTATTAGAATTGTTATCTACGATAATTAAAACGTTTTCTAAAACATCAGAGTATTTTTTGGCATTTTTTAAAAAATAAAACCGAATAATTTTTTTAAAAAAAATTTAAATGTAAGTAAACAGCAGTGATTTCTGCAGCTCACAAATAGTCTATTTTCTTGGAACATTTTACTGCAGAAATAAGACAGGTACCCTATGTTCTAAATGAATGAAACGTATTAGATATGCTCTCTTTTATATGCTGTATTTTTTTTAAGTCCTAAATGCAGTTTCTCTTTGTGATTCCTTAAATGGCAAAGTAAACATTCAACATTTAAGTCAATGTTTCTCGCATAAAGGTATTGAACATGCATAAGGTAATCTAAAACTAGAAATTGAATTGACTGCAAGCAAATTTCATTTAAAAAATAATTAACAGTATATTTTTTTGTTCTATTCATGCTGTAGTGAATCATGGGATCTCAAGTTATAGGTCCGGTAAGCTGAAAGAAATGAACCTGTGTAGTATTTGCAAGCACTGCACCATATGCCAGGGAATTGTAAGTTTATATAATTATATATAAATTAATTGTAATTTACTCATTAACTCAACAATGTACATAACATATAGTTAAAATACTTTATACATATCTGTTTTAATTAACAAGACAATTCTTATCTTTGAATAGCAATGTTCTAAACTAGATCTATATGTATAATTACATTTCATGTTTGGAATAAATTCTCTACTTTAAATATATTCAAATACTTTGTAATTGATTCACTTTAATATATTTTAGGAACTTGGCTGAGATGCGGAAAAACTACATTGTTGAATAAAAATTGAATAAAGTTTTTAAGCTGAACTAAGTTTTTAATTATTTCTTGAAATACGAACAGAAAAAAAATCATTGAAAGGAAAAAAGACCACATATTACCATATCCTTTTTCAGAATTTAATGTTACAAAACACAGTTCTTCATTGACGACTCATCCAATAAAAACGATTATGTTAAGAGACATTATTTTCCTTGGGAAGAAACTTTTTAGCTCACCTAAGCCGAAGGCTCAAGTGAGCTATTCTGATCAAATTTTGTCTCTCTTCCAAGGGGAGATAATTATGAATTAGTAAAAACTTAATGGCATTTTTAAAAAATCTTCTTCTCTAGAACCACAATGACAAGAAAGATAAAACTCATGTGGAATCACCCTCTGGTAGTGTAGATTCAAGTTTGTTCACATCATGACTCCCGGGGCAAGGGTGGGGCCAAAATGGCCGATCAAATTTTTACATTGGAATATATTGAAAGACTTTAAAATTCGTCTTCTCAAGAACCATTGAGACAGGAAATATGCGTTTCAAGTCTGTTCAAATCATGACCCCGGGAGTAGGATGGGGCCACAATGGCTGATTAAAGATGTACATAGGAAAATATAGGGAAATCTTTGAAAATGTTCTTCTCAAATGCTGCAAAGCCATGATTAGTGATATTTTTATGGAAGCATCCTCAGATACTGTAGATTAAAGTTTATTCAACTCATAACCCCCAGGGATAGGGTGGGACCACAATGGGGGATCCAAGTTTTACACTAAAATATATTTTTAAAAATCTTTTTCTGAAGAATAGCGAAACTATGGTTACTGATATTTATATGGAAGCATCTTCGAGGTAGTGTGGCATTAAATTTGTTCAAATCTTAATCCCCAAGGGTAGGGAAGGGTCTCAATGGTGGATCAAAGTTTTATAAAGGAAAATAAGGGGAAAATCTCAATAACAGAAAAGCTATGTTAACTCATAATGACACGTAAGCATCCTCATGTATTGAAGATTTGAAATTCTTCAAATCAAGAGTTCCCATTTGGATAGGAAGGGAAATGATAGGGAGTAAAATTCAAATTATTACAATGTACTAAAATATACACACAAAATGTTATAAATATATAAAAATATTTTTCTCAATAACATTCTCAAGAAGTTATATGCGGAAATGATATGGAGGCATTCTAAAGTAGTATTAGAATTCAAGCCCCCTCCCCCCTCCACCCCACCCATTCAGTAAGCTTTTCAATTCTGATCTGATTTGTATATTTTCGTATCTGATGTGTTCAGGTAAGCGATGTGGCCCCTGGGCCTCTTGTTTTAAAAATACCACTAAAACTATACGAGTTATTGATTATATTCCATTGAAAAGGGGGTTGGCTGTTCCCCTTAACAAAACAAAACCCCTTCACCGAAGGATGTTTTGTGGCAAGTTTAGTTAAAATTGGTCCAATGGATGTCGAGTTGTTACAAATGTAATATGTTTACAATCTACGATCGACGGACAATGGTCATTAATTTTTATTGATCATTAAACATCACCTCCGCCGAGGGCTCAAGTTAGCTAAAAAGAAGTATTAAGAAATGGGGAGTAGAAGGATATGGAGATAACGAACAGTATTCAATCTCAAAGTCCATAAAACAATACAAAATAAGAGCAGAGCAAACACAGACCCCCGAAAAATCAGAGTTGGGATCAGGTGCCGAGGTGAGTACCCCCTGCCGACCACGGCCATCTAAAGATCTATGCACATTTAATATTTAAAAGTTAAATTTCTTATGAAAAAGAATAGATAATCCTCTCCTATGTGCAGAATCTGTATTTGAATGTATGGATGTGCCATACCATCTTGAATCATATTCAAAATTATTTTTTTCGCAAAAGTGCGTCTCTTGTAGAAAAATAATATCTATATTGTTGTCATTAAACCATTGATATAATGTATTTCTCTTATCATAACCATTTAACCCTCTTACATTTAGGGTAATACACTTTATGTATTCCATATTGAAAAATTTAGACAAAGAGAGAATGATTGTGCATTATTAAACATATAAGCATGCATAGCTAAGAATTGTTATTTATTATGCGTAGCCGGGCGAGGTAGCCCTGATCTGGCCCTGTTTTTCGGTTTTTTTCTTTATTTCCGTGGCTATGCGTCCAAGAATCTGTCCCAGAACATTTTTTCCAGGCCAAGCTGTGGGTTTAGAACGCTTCGATTGATAAAGGTTGAGACCTGTTGCCCAAAAATCGTCGTAAGTTGTTTCGGCGAAGACGACATTTTTGGGCGAATTTTCAAGAGAGTCACAGAAATCCTCTACTTGTTCTGATTTTTTTCGAAATAATTTCTTTCATTACTTCCACTTGCGTGGAAATCCAGGTATCTGATGCCGTGATTAGGTTGCCAATTCTGTTGGACTCAAGTGCCGACTCGAATGAAAGTTATGCTGATATTTAAATCAGCATATTATGCAGACTGTAAATGATTCCATTTCATATTTTTCTGATTTGGATGTAGTGCATTGATATTTGTCTTTATTTTTCATTCAGTTTTTTTCACAATTGCAAATTCTTGTATTATATTTGGATTAATCAAATTTAAGGATTGTATTAATTTATTTGTAAATCAGCTGTAACAAAACAAATTTTCTGATGAAAGACACAGCCAATCACAAGAATAGAAAAGGATGTTAAGTTCAAAGAAAAGGTATGTTCATTACTGGTGATGATATGTTATTAAGGTTCATTGATACTCTGATAAGAGAGATAACTCTTAATGGCACAAATGTCTGATATTCCTTATAAATTTGTCAAGTTTAAGTGCATTTTTTGTCAAATTTTGCCCCGCAAGCCATGCTATAATTGTTGTATTTTATTCAGAATATGCATTTCGTTTGGATAAATATAAAAGTTAAAGGAAAATTTCATATGAGTTAGCAGAGGGTTTATGACCCTTAATGTAAAAAGAGTGCAGCAATAAAATAGAGAGAGCAATAGTAATCTGTAGACCAAAAATTAAATCTTAATTCTTTACAAGAGTAGGCATGTCATGATTAGTCACACTTAGACAGGTCAGAGAAGATTTAGATTTGTTCAGATCATGTATATAGCTATAGGGTAGGATGGGTCCACAGTGGGGGATCAAATTTTCTGGAATATTTAAAGTTGATGCCTTTTATTATAAAAATCTTTTTCAAGATTATCAGGGCCACAATACATCATATTATTTGAACGAATACATCTTAGTACAGAATCCCAGAATCAAGGGTAATGAATGTGCCATAATAAGGAACAGAATGTTTATCTTGAAAGTCCTAAGTAAATATTTGAAAATCATTGGCTTTAAAGTTAAGTAGAGATTAAAATAATTTTTAAAAAATAGTTTTCATAATTTAAATTCCTATTTTAAAGAGACTTTAGTTTATTTCTTTCAATTTATCTTTAAATATCAAACAAGCTGCAACTTAGAATAGCTGGTTATAAATTATCTGCAGAGCTAACAAACTATAAGGTAAAAAAAGCTACAATTTTCAGAGTGAAAGCAATATTTTGGGGTTACAGAAAAGGGGCATAACTCTCATCATGATGATAAATGATGATGTCAGATAATGTGAAAAATGTGTACTGATGGAAAAGAAGTGAATACAGTGCAGTCTGAATAAGTACAGTTAAATACCAGTATCTTAAAATCAATCAACTTTGACTACCTAAGGTATGTTGACGTTCATGACAGTATTACAAATTGGATAAATGATTTGCAAACACTTTGAATTCCATATGATTTACTTTTGTTAATTTAATTTGCTCATTTTGTGCACATCTGTTTCTCATGCAGATTATTAATGAACAATGATAGATTGAATAAGCAATTGTAAATGGCATAATGAATTTTATATACTCTGTTTAGAGTTGAACTTTGGTATACACTTAACAAAACTTCTAAGTGTTCACTTCAATAAATGTCTTTATTTAAAAACTACTGTATAGAATGGTATGATATTTTCAAATTATATCAACAAATGAGTCTTCTCAACAATTGTAGAAAAAAAAAAATCAATATCACCGATGAAAACCAATGTTCCGTGACGAAGCTTAAAAACAATAAATTTGTACTTTGCGGCATGTGATTTCTGTAATAAGCATCTTTTTGTGATTATTATCAAATTTTAAAAACTGGTTTCACTAAAAAACACAAAACATTGGTTAAATGACCATTGAGATAGAAAATAGAGCCGTTGGAATGTTGCTATCTGGACCATCTTTGCACCAAGTTTTATTCATTATTATTTTAGCGCTTAATTGTTCTTCATATTACTTTTAAAAATTGTCAAACAGTATCAAATCCATTTAAACACATTTTTCTATAGGCTGTGATTATTTTTCATCACTAATTCATCACAATTTGAAAGTTTTTGACAAAATTTAACCACACCGGAAGTGACCTTGATCTTCTTCAGATGAGAAAAATTCGCGTCACACCAGGTTAAAAGAGTGTTAAAGTGTCCTGAAAAAATGTTAGAAACATGGAAACAAATCATTACAATCGTACGGATATGATTAGAAATCGGTGCTCAAGGCAGTCTTATATCAGCTCAAACAGTCTGAATTATCCTTAAAGCGACGTACTAACGTGCTAGAAACGTAAAGATATTGACCAAAAGGCATTTGTGTGACGATACACTGTCAAATTCTCGGATCTGAATCCCATTGAACACATTTAGGATTTTAAAAGAAATGTCAAAGCCCCCCCCCCTTTTTTCTCATAATTTCAATGGTTTGGAAAGATCTATGCAGAACATGTAGGTGTGGCAGCAGATGGGTCAATCTCCTATTCAGGGGTACATTGTACATGTTGTATCCAACAATTAAGATTTTCTTGTAGTAATTAGAGCGAGTAGTGGGTCTTACACAATCGAGATTTTTTTGTGTGAGTTTTCATTTTGAGGGTACACCATTTCCTTGACACTTTGCTTGAAATTCTGACGAGATACTTACATGAAATTTACG